TCATTTGACCCTTAGTCTTCATATTTGGCATGGAGGTTAGTCATGATTAGTAGATGACCCCTATTGATTTTGAGGTCACTAGATCAAAGGTCAAGGTCACAGGGGCCTTGACTTCAAAAAGCTTGTCCGCCCAATAACTTAAGATTCCTTTGACCCTTAGTCTTCATATTTGGCATGGAGGTTAGTCATGATTAGTAGATGACCCCTATTGATTTTGAGGTCACTAGGTCAAAGGTCAAGGTCACAGGGGCCTTGACTTCAAAAAAGCTTGTCCGCCCAATAACTTAAGATTCCTTTGACCCTTAGTCTTCATATTTGGCATGGAGGTTAGTCATGATTAGTAGATGACCCTATTGATTTTGAGGTCACCAGGTCAAAGGTCAAGGTCACAGGGGCCTTGACTTCAAAAAGCTTGTCTGCCCAATAACTTAAGATTCCTTTGACCTACAGTCGTCATATTTGGCATGAGGTTAGTCATGATTAGTAGATGACCCCTATTGATTTTTGAGGTCACAGGTCAAAGGTCAAGGTCACAGGGGCCTTGACTTCAAAAAGCTTGTCTGCCCAATAACTTAAGATTCCTTTGACCTACAGTCGTCATATTTGGCATGGAGGTTAGTCATGATTAGTAGATGACCCCTATTGATTTTGAGGTCACCAGGTCAAAGGTCAAAGTCACAGGGACTTTGACTTCAAAAACTTTGTCTGCCCAATAACTTTAGATTCCTTTGACCCACAGTCTTCATATTTGACATGGATGTTGATCATGATTAGTAGATGACCCCTTTTGATTTTGAGGTCACTGGATCAAAGGTCAATGTCATAGGGACTTTGACTTCAAAAAGTTTGTCCACCCATTAACTTAAGATTCCTTTGACCCACAGTCTTCATATTTGGTATCGATGTTGATCATGACTATAAGGTGACCCCTATTGATTTTGAGGTCACTGGGTCAAAGATCAAGGTCACAGGGACCTTGACAAAAAATGCTTTTCTTCTCAATTGCTAAAGAATGTCCTGTCCGCAATGTATTGATTTTGACATTTTCACATTTGAAGCATGTAGAATACATAACTTAGCAATGCACTGGCTTAGTAACCTCAGATTTGGCAGGGAGGTTGTCCTTGAGCTCTAAATGGCCACTGTTGATTCTGATAAAGTGGTATGCGGGGGTATTCACGCCATGATAGTGGCAGTTCTAGTTTTAACGGCCCCTAAAAGGGGCTAACCAAATAAATATGAGCAAACTTGATAAAAGACTACCCAATAATGCTACAGACAAAGTTTGGTGATCATCAATCAATTGGTTCTGAAGTAGATGTTTAAAGGTTTTTCTATTTTTAGCTTTAGCGGCCCCTAAAAGGGGCCAATCAAATTAATGTGAGCAAACTTAATAAAAGACTACCCAAAAATGCTACAGACAAAGTTTGGTGATCATTCATCAATTAGTTCTGTAGAAGAAGATGTTTAAAGGTTTTTCTATTTTTAGCTCTGCTGACCCCTAAAAGGGGCCAATTGGAATGACATGAGCAAATTCTAGTGTGACTGTCACAAGAATGCTACAGACCAAATTTGAAGTAAATCTGCTTAGTAGTTTCAGAGAAAAAGACGATTGTTGACGCATGACGACGGACGCCGGACGCCGGAGCATCCCCCTTTGATACTAATAGCTCACCCTGAGCCTTCGGCTCTGGTGAGTTAATAACGAAGTTATGGGCCGGACAAGATTTTGCTGCAAGGTCCTGCTGTGACCGTGACCCAAATTTTGCATGCGACACGTCGATTCAATATGGTGATCAGGTCTGTGAAATAGTTGTTAAATCTGACTTAAAGTAACAAAGTTATGGGCCAGACACGATTTTGCTGCAAGGTCATGCTGTGACCTTGACCTCCAAGGTAGCGACCCAAATGTTGCGCACGACACTTCGTCTCAATAAAGTGATCATTTCTGTCATCATTTTCACGATCTAATGTTGAAAAATTGACTATCATAATCGCAATCGATCAATTTAGTAATAATGAAAATCGTTAAAGATGCATGCTTCCAGATGAAATAAAATATTTCAATAAAGTCAAGCATGAGAAAAATGTACTACATTTTTAGGAAAAAGTAAAAAAAAAGATTCAAGCTTCAAGAAATAATTTACATTTTATGTGCGATTAATGGCTGATTTTTCAGTAATAATGTACAGGTATATATTTCTACTGCATACTAACGCAGTAAAGACTTTTTTTGCATAATTTGACCTCTTTTTGTAATTAACATGGGATGTAAGTGCCGTTGATAATGTGCAAATTGTTCCGTTTGCATGGTAACTTCACAATTTTATACTTTATAATTAATTTTGAACTTTTTCATGAAAATCAACATGAATCTGAAGGCGTGCTGCTTTAATGATACCGAATAAAAACGACTTAAATCATAAAGACAGCCCCATTCTCTTTTATCAATACGGTAATGAAAGATTTCGAAATTATGGCTGATTTGCAGTTTCGGCATGTGGTGCCATTTGTTCATAAAATTTGTTTGTTTGTTTTGGGGTTTGTTTGTTTGTTTGTTTGTTTGTTTGTTTTAGTGGCATTTCTTTGACACTGACTAGGTCATATGGCGTCTTTCCAGCTTTACTTGTGAAGGATAGCCTCAGGTGCCCTTTCATACATTTTTTGAATTTATTTCAGGCACAAACAGACACCCGAGTAGAACCTCCGCTGTTACATAAAATAGCTGGATAGCTTCTTCACATAAGAGAATCCCTGGTGGGATTTGAACCCAAAGCGGCAAAGGGCAAGTGGTTCAACGGTTATCATCTAGTCAATGACAATTCTGGTATGACAGAATCCATTCAGAGTAAATTGTAAACCTGTTGTACCATTGGTAAACAAGTTAAATGTTGATGCTGCATATCAAAGACGCCGCCAAATGATGTGAACAGTCAATCAGCATTGAAAATCGTTCTCTATATTAGTTAAATATCCGAAGCACAAATCAATTGTTTCTCCATGTTCTTGGCATGTGCTCGTTGTTTAATAATAAAGTTGTATATTTTGTGAAAAAGTAGAACCTAATGCATAAATTCACAAAATAATGCCAGTTTTGAAATTCTTACATGTTTGTCTGTTGAGACAAAGACTGAAACGTCTGGTCGATTCAAAATAAATTGAATAACAAATAAAATTGAAATGATTGGTATACTTAAAATAAATTCAAGACAATATGTGCCGAGAATATAACCATTTAAATATTGGTACGAATTGCATAATGTTCGAATGATTTTTAGGACAAACTTTTCTGCAATGATCTTCCCTTACATGCAGGCGTTTGTTGTACTTCTTAACGGTTAAGTGAGAACCGCCTCTCTGATAGTGGGCGTGGTTTAGGCTTTGTAACTTGTAATTTAATGATTCGACAAGTGATATTGATCAAAGTTTCTATCCCGTCAACGAAGACTAAATGCTAGCATATGGAGCATAATAACAAATTTAATATGACAATTTAAGGCGGAGCCGAATTTCAACACAGGCGAAGCAAATGAAGTAAGTGACACTGCCTCAGTTGTCACCTCATTCAACGGTTATGTTTTAGAACGATCGACTATAGATTGGCTCATTGACACGTTATTTATTATGTAGATGATAAAAATAATATGATTTTCAAACATGGCACTATATCACTTCAGTTAAACGTTCATTCTAATCTCGTTAAACAAAGTCTTTATTAGTATTATTATTATTAATCCATTAAAGCTCTGTGACATGTTGTACATCATAAAAGCCATTTTTATTAGAAAATTTAAAAACAGTGTAATGTTGTTAAAACAAAAATAAATTACACAAAATCAAGTCTAAAATTTTCCCATTGCTTTATGGACAAATGCATATCTTTCAAGCGGCGTCTAATAATATTACGAATGGAATGTTGGTACTTTTACTATTGGACTCGCCCAGCAATGTTATTAGTTTTAACACCGCGTGTCCCTGTGATGATATAAATTAACACAACGATGTATTGTTAATTTTTGTTTACGTGTTTAAAGGGGGTACCAAAATCATATCCTTTATATTTGTACTTACTGTTGTGCTCATATTAACAAAGAAGTTATATATCCAGCACATGTTTACTATACTGTAGAGGTACATATATAATCTATGAGTACATAGATCATATTTTGTAATTGATCATCAAATGGGAGATTATTGCAACTAATTATATAGAGGATATTTGTTTAGTTCGGTGTAAGATCGGAATATATTTCACCGAGTGAGCACCAAAAGGTATATTTCACGAGTGGCGCAGCCACGAGTGAAATATGAATTTTTGGTGTTCACAAGGTGAAATATATTTCGATCTTACACTAAACTAAACAAATTTCCTTTTTATTACATGCAAAGAAACGTTTTAAAAAGACATAAAACCTAATACTGAATGAAAAGCGCGCCAAATAATAATACAACGTGACGTCATTTACGACGTCAAGTCATTAAGTTGGTACCCAGTACTGTGCACGCTGGTATTTCACTGAAACAACATAAGGGGCTTAAATTCAAAACGGTGAAATTATCAAACTGGTAATTTCACTGTTTCAAACAGTGAAATTACCAGTTTTTTAATCACTGATATATTTCTATAAACCACCGAAAAGCATGTAATAAAATATAACACTATTGAAAACGACAGAAAAAAGCCGAAATGCCTGTTGCTTTTCAGAAAACGGTATACTGTCTCTATTCCGATTTTGTATGATTCATTTGGAGAAAGGCATACGTTACTTTGTAAAGTAGGATTAGCAATATGAAAACGATATGCACATTGCTTGCATTTATTACATAGATAAGTGACAACATGCTTGCGGATGAACATTGGAATGCTTTGTTTTGTTGTTGTTGTTGTTGTTTTCCTTTGTTCTAAAATATTGTGATAAGATTGTGAAGATTTCTGTCGCCCAGTAATTACCAAATGTGCTAAAATTCGGGATATCTGACAAAACAGTCAAAACACGAAAAAAGTTTTCATTGATTTATTCTTTAATTCACCAGGGATAAAGGTTATTGTACTACATCAAGGTTAAGTCTAAAAACCTATCATAAAAACAAACCTTTATGCATAATGAAAAGAAAAAATAAGTACTCAAATGTCTTTTTTGCTAATAGGTCACAATAACTTGCCATATCGCCCAGTCTGTTTATTTTCAAGGCAGTGAATAATTCTGTACGCTGCATTATTTTGACCACATAGCAAACAAAAGACATTTCGGTAAAATTTTGAATAAACTTTAACCTTACATTTCGAACAATCAATAAGTTTGTCAAAAAATACAAATATCATAACGCCATTTAGGATTGCCGGTGACCTGTTAAATCTAAATCGTGTAAGGCCGTTGATATTCTGTCTCAAGTTTTGTTTCTTTTATTTTTAAAGAATTATTTTCTTTTTAAGAACAAATATTAAAAGTAAAACTTATTTCACCAAACTTTCGTTTTTATCTTGACAGACAGATAAGTTTTTCGTTTTACTGTTTATATACGGAGGCATTATTCAGTTGCGTAAACCAGTTAATGTTATAAACATTTATTTCTATGATAACCGGCAAAATCATAAACAAACTAGATCAGTCAGGATTCTAATTATTAATAGGTTTTTATTATTGAAATATACTGTTTTATAAAATATATACTTGCAAACTCCTTCCATGACGTAAGAATGATTTCTTATTTTGAAGATATCAATGAAGCTCATAGCCAATTTGAATAAATTTTACAAGAGGTACAGTTACAATAAAACAGATATTTATACAAATCATTTGCTTTCTTGTGGAATTTAGACTATTTGAATACCAAAACATGTTTGAAATACATATATTATTGTTTTTTACATATATTGTGCGGTCGAAAAAACAACAACCGTGAACTAAACCTATACATATGTGGTTGTGGAAGGCATGCATGATACATGCGCAGTTGGTGTGATTGAAATTGTCCACGTGACTGGCCGATAATGATAAAGGCGCGCAGCGGGTACGACAGCAGCAGCAGCAACCGCCATAAGATCCATGCAAATGATGTCAGCATTCGGATACATACCCGCAGGAACTGTCATCAGTGCATCATAAGTTTTACTTGTCGTAGAGATAGCAGTAGCTGCAGAGGAGGTGGCTATGTATGGAACGATGGCTGTCAGTTTTCTAGACGATGTAGACATTGTTGTCATAGTTGAGGCAACTGTCGTCGTAGTGGATGTTGTTGTAGTTGTTGTTGTTGTGGATGTGGATGTTGTTGTTCTTGTTGAAGTTCGGGTACTAAATACGGTCCGAATGGCATTGGCGCCACCTTCTATAAACAGAAATGCATTACAACTTGTATTGATTTCTCAACGATTAGTTCAGGAACAACATACACGTGAAAAGGACTCCACAGATTTTTTTTAACATGTCGATACTGGAAATTATTTTCCGAGATAAATGTTCATGTTTCATGTAGGAATAGACCCAAAAAATTAGATCACTTGCTCCTATAATTATTCTAATTATGAAAACTGAAAAGCGTTGCAACGCTTTTCACCTTATCTTGCTAAGAACAGCACATAAAAGAAATCAATTTTCAATTTATTTCAGGGTAATTTTTTTTATTCTTTTTTTTCACATCTTTCTGCTATAAGTGTCTCAGCTGATCTATGTAAGAAATTCAAATTTTATGTTTTCAAACTTTTGGACCTCAGTGGAGTTCCTTTAAAGTGTAGACTATAAAACAATTCAAAGAGTTGTTGTTTTAAATATTTTCCCGATAATAATTAAAATAATCATGACAATGGAAAGTTACAGGTTTTTATCCACATAAAAATGCGTAACTTTCAAGATCTCCTTTCATGTTAACGTTGTATTTTTTATTATTATAATGCCAGTAAACAAAAACATGCTCAAAACGATGTTACACATTAAAAAGTGCATAACATATTTTCTCAGAGTCTTTTAATATTTAATATATTAATTTAATATTTTTATATTGTATGAGAATAGAACCACCTTCATTGGAATATTAACATACTGGACGCGACAAAACAGTATTTAAGTCTTTGTCTTCGACCTGCTACGGTTTGCTTCAGAATCTTTAGCTACTTGGTTCCTCTCAAATCAAATCCTTAATAACCATTTCTAGTCTTAAAATTTGTTAAGGTTGTGGTGTTGTAGCTGACCCGGATCACGACAGTAAGCCACTTTGAATTAACAACAGCACAGTTCAGATACCGCATCGTTCCTGGGCAAGTTGTCAAGTAGTTTACCAGTACTAGCTGCCTTCAGTTTTGCAATGAATTTACAACTTCTGTACTTGATAGAGCAGAGGTACAGTAACCGTAGAAATGATTTCATAATCAATCACAATGAAAGTGACCTGCTCTGTTCGAGAATCGAACCCTAGTCTCTCGATTCACAGTCCAACGATTTACCTATTGAGCTAACCAGTCGGCTAAATATGTTTAGAGTACTGTATTATATGTAATAGGAAGAGCATCGAAACACGAGGCTATCTGATTTGTGCGAGGGGTTGTAGCCTCCGAGTATAAATCAGATTGCCGAGTGTTTTGATGTTCTTTCTCTTTTCTAGCTGTTGTCACAATATGAAACCTCAGAAACAGTAATAACCAATGAACGATTATCTGAATGTGATTCTTTTCTCTGTCGTCACAAAAAGTAACCCCCAGAAAAAAATGAGCCAATCAATGGGCGGGTAACTTATACCTGGACTCCAGCACTGTGCATGTATGTGTATATGATTTAATTCTGACACATTTTCAACAGAAAGGTCCCCCAACTATGATACATGACTACTCATACTCACGACAATTCATTTCATCATCACCCATTGGGCAGTCGGGTCGTCCGTTACATTGATCACGAGGGTTGTAACAGTGGATAGCATTCGCAATTCCATAACAAGGTCGTGCCCCTCGGCTGTAGCAATTGGCTGAGAAATATGAAAGGCATAATGAGACATTTTTAACAAAAAAGTATAGTCGGTTAATTAGATAGTAAGGTTGTTTTTAAATCTGATTAAAGTTTGCGAATCACAGTCAAGTTATTTCATTTTTTACAAAGGTAGGTACAATTTACATTTATTAAATATTTATAATAATAATTATAATAATTATAATAATAAACTCTCGGAAATTGTGATGGTAAAAAAATCTCGGAAATTATTACGGTAAAAATCACTCGTTAGCTGTTCAGTATCTGTCAAATACTGTTTAAAAAAGACATTTGACAGAAATAAGAAGAAAGAAAAAACTAGAAAATGTGAGCGTGTTTATCAACTCACACAATCCACGCAAATTTCCTCGACCACGTCCCAAGGTGTTACCATATTGGATATCATTATAGCCATAACCATAACCACCTCTCTTGTTGCTGCTACTGCCCTTGTGACTACCGCCGGATGATTTATGTGCTGAACATGTTCCCAGTATTAAAAGGGCTATGACTAGAAGGTTAGATACGTGCTAAAATATAAACGCATTAATATAAAAAGTATGAAATATAGCATAATATAATATAACATAATATAATAAGTATGTGATTTTGGCCTCTTTTAGAAAGAAAATATTCCCGTTCTTGTAAGATTTTATAGCTTTCGGACCGCAATCGTCATTTCATTTTTAATTTGTCATAATGATAAAAGTATTTCTCTTTTTAAAGACCCATTAAACCACCAAAAGTGTTGTTTTTATTTCATTTAAGTTTACATAAAACTTTAACAGTTCAAAAGTGGTACTAATTAACCATAATTGACGGACCATCTTTTGCTTCTTTGACCATTTCTTAAGTTAAAATGTTCAAATATTTTGCAAGGAAGACAAAATACAATTGTTCACATTTCACTACGTCAATATGACAAATTTATTTCAATTTCAGGACCACTTTTTTCACGTGATAATCATCTACCTTTCTCAAAATCCATTGTAATAATTAAATAAAGCATAAATTATGCTGTCATTTCTTAAGAAGAATATCTGAGGCATGCGCGCCTTTAATGGCGTTATTCAAGTTTAAAGGAAATTGCGACTGTTGAGAGCCTCGAACAAAGATTGATTTATAAATTAATACAAAGCAAATAAAATTCATTACGTACCTTCAACATAGCAGCAGAGCCCATTTTGACATACACTAGTTGCTGTGAAATAGTTTGAAAATTTCCTTCTTTATATAGTGGTTTATATAGACACATGTTTATTTATGGATTTGGTTTTTATTTCCTATCGCCTGTAGGGTAGTAGTTTGCCAGTATTACGTTTGACAAGTAACTGTGGAACTGTTGAAGGAAGTCAGCGGCTAAAATATACTGTTTTATGAAGTTGCGTTAAATATTTTATAGCATTTAATGTGGTTTGTGTTTTGAATAAGATACAAAATATTTGAAAGGATAGCTCAAATGAGCTTCAAATTGGATATTTGAACAAATGTAATATCATGACCATCATTTTTCGAAACATTCTAGTTCTACATATTATACAAGCATCGAAACATTCTAGTTCTACATATTATACAAGCATCGAAACATTCTAGTTCTACATATGATACAAGCATCGAAACATTCTAGTTCTACATATTATACAAGCATCGAAACATTCTAGTTCTACATATGATACAAGCATCGAAACATTATAGTTCTACATGTTATACAAGCATCGAAACATTATAGTTCTACATATAATACAAGCATCGAAACATTATAGTTCTACATGTTATACAAGCATCGAAACATTATAGTTCTACATGTTATACAAGCATTGAAACATTCTAGTTCTACATATTATACAAGCATCGAAACATTCTAGTTCTACATATTATACAAGCATCGAAACATTCTAGTTCTACATATGATACAAGCATCGAAACATTCTAGTTCTACATATTATACAAGCATCGAAACATTCTAGTTCTACATATGATACAAGCATCGAAACATTCTAGTTCTACATATGATATACAAGCATCGAAACATTCTAGTTCTACATGTTATACAAGCATCGAAACATTCTAGTTCTACATATAATACAAGTATCGAAACATTATAGTTCTACATATTATACAAGCATCGAAACATTCTAGTTCTACATATAATACAAGCATCGAAACATTCTAGTTCTACATATTATACAAGCATCGAAACATTCTAGGTCTACAGTTTATAAAAGCATTACATTTTCCTGCTTTATTTTAATTTATATCAGAAAAAAGTTTGTGGAAATATAGCAGAATAGTAATCCAAGGATCACTAGTCGCGTGGGTTCAACCCTGGTCAGGGACAAGCTGTTGTTTCATTGAGCAAGAAACTTTTCAACTCATGGCTCCGTACTGGTTGCTACCCGCAACGGATTCTTGAACTGTTTTTAAGCTACCAGCTTCCTACACAATCGAACTTAAAACATATGTACGAGCTTAAACAGTTATACAAACAAGTGTATTTTAGTAGACGCTTTTCAGTAATAAACCGATTGTAATATTTTTTTTATAAAGTGTCACCAAATTATTTCAATCATTATTTGTTATTCCGTTCTTTTTTCATCAAATGCCTATCACGCCTTAAAATGCTTATTTTGTCATACACCAACAACCGCACAACTAAATTTCTTGCATATCAGACTGGCGTTTCCGTGAGTTTTACCCATGCCGGAAATTTCATCTGGCATGGGGGGTGCCAGATGAGTCGCGTGCTTTACAATAGCACGCTTAGGATGACATCATTTTACCGTTATGAATGAAGTTGTAATTCATTCGCTGTTGTAAGAAAGTAGTTACCACACCGTATTATCTGAAAATTACCGATCGATACAGGTAGGTTATAAATTTGGTTGGTTTAATTATATTACACAAATACGGCCCATTTCATTGCTATAAAACTATTGTCTATTGAATGGAGATACTGTAAGGTAATTTTGGACTCGTTTTTTTCCTGTTTTAAGACTATTTTGAGCAGGTTAAAATTAAGTGACAGCCTCGAAAAAATCCGTGAAAATGTCTGTTTTCTGTTCAAAATATCTCAAGTTATAAGAAAATGGCAGGATTTCCTGTTATCAATATAGACGTTCATCCATTGGGGTCACGCAAGCCAGATATCTACCCCGTGAGTCTTTTCTTGAAAGTTTTACAGACGCTCAATCTTGTCCGGTCGAAGAAAAAATGCTGCCGTTGTAGGCAGATACATATAATAAATGCTGCCGTCGATGGCAGAAATACCATGAAAGTGGCTAACATTCTGACAGAAAATCAAGTTCAATCTTTTATCAATTCCTCTTTTCTTTGCGTCCTTTTAGTCGGAATTGACACGTTAAACTATCATTTCTTATATTTTCTCAAGATAGAAAAGTTATTAATGCGGTATGTGCATCGAAACAAGCTTTTAAGCAACATGCAGTTCCAATAAAAAAGTGATGATTTATTACGACAAAATTGCACTATAAATAGAGAAATGAACATGAAAAACTTCATTTTTCTATATTCATACATGTGTGCTTGATCTGTTGCATGCATACAATACTATATGTATCTTAAGTTTAGCAGCGCACTCCCTTTTTAAGACATAACGCCAATTGCATATTACAGCAAGTAACTTCTGTAAGTGGATATTCATTTGCTAGCATATGCCATTATTTTCTCGAGGTAATAATGTTCATCGCTTTATGACAAATAAAGGCTGAAATATACTTAATCGGCGCAGATTATAAGGTATTAAATTGATGTAATAAAGGGGAGACTATTAACCTCGCAACTGGCATCAGTGTATCATAAAACAATGTATGTTAATGTAAAATGGAAAGATAATATTATTGACAGTTCAAATATTTTCCTATATTATCAAGTTCTTGAAAAACACGACAACGTGGATTCATTTCTTTAAATTTTCATGTTTGTAATAGCGTTTTAGTTTGCCTTTGAATTACATTTACTATGCTAAACTATTAACAACAGTTCTAACATCACGTGCTCCCATTTAACTATAATTTTTTTCATTCATTTTAGTTGTAACCATGACAACTTATAAAGATGAACCTTTCGATGATTCAGACGAGGCAATGGCTCCATTAGATGGCTCGTTTCTTGATGTATCTTTAATAGTGAGATATTAGACTGTGACATTTGTGGAGGTTGCAAGACCAAAGTCTTACTGAAAAGACATCTAAGAAAACATTCCAGCGAGGAAACATTTGAATGCACAAGATGTACACAGTATTGGAGCCATTGCCTCGTCTGAATCATCGTTGAAATGTCAATAATATTATCTTTCCATTTTACATTAACATACATTGTTTTATGAAACACTGATGCCAGTTGCGAGGTTAATAGTCTCCCCTTTATTACATCAATTTAATAACTTAAAATCTGCGCCGATTAAGTAAATTTCAGCCTTTATTTGTCATAAAGCGATGAACATTATTACCTCGAGAAAATAATGTCATATGCTAGCACATGAATATCCACTTACAGAAGTTACTTGTAATTGGCGTTATGTCTTAAAAAGGGAGTGCGCTGCTAAACTTAAGATACATATAGTTTTGTATGCATGTAACTGACAGACACAACAGATCAAGCACACATGCATGAATATAGAAAAATGAAGTTTTTCATGTTCATTTCTCTATTTATAGTGCAATTTTGTCGTACTAAATCATCACTTTTTGTATTGTAACTGCATGTTGTTAAAAAGCTTTTTTCGATGCACATACCGCATTAATAACTTTTCTATCTTGAGAAAATATTAGAAATGATAGTTTAACGTGCCAATTCCGACTAAAAGGACGCAAAGAAAAGAGGAATTGATAAAAGATTGAACTTGATTTTCTGTCAGAATTTTAGCCACTTTCATGGTATTTCTGCCATCGACGGCAGCATTTATAATATGTATCTGCCTACAACGGCAGCATTTTTTCTTCGACCGGACAAGATTGAGCGTCTGTAAAACTTTCAAGAAAAGACTCACGGGGTAGATATCTGGCTTGCGTGACCCCAATGGATGAACGTCTATATTGATAACAGGAAATCCTGCCATTTTCTTAAAACTTGAGATATTTTGAACAGAAAACAGACATTTTCACGGATTTTTCCGAGACTGTCACTTTTAACCTGCTCAAAATAGTCCTAAAACAGGAAAAACGAGTCCAAAATTACCTTACAGTATCTCCATTCAATGGACAATAGTTTTATAGCAATGAAATGGGCCGTATTTGTGTAATATAATTAAACCAACCAAATTAATAACCTACCTGTATCGATCGGTAATTTTCAGATATCTGCCATCACTGCAGTGATCTGCCATCACTGCCGCCGGTAATACGGTGTGACGGTTGTAATGATATAAATTTCCATTGAAATTAAAGATAAAGAATTTAAAATATAACGGAATATGGTAGAATATGCAAGAAAAAATATCTGACATGTGTTTGCGGTTTGGATCGGAATCTCCTTCCCTCGGATATAACACTGGCTGGGCGACATCTCTGGATGTTTCTGCAAAAAAAATGTTTCGGCCTAAAGGCCTCGCCTTTTTTTTAGCACGAACATCCCTTGATGTCGCCCCAGCCAGTGCTATATCCTCTTAATTAACTCGTTTCATGTACTATAACTATTACATATTTTGATAAATTATCTATATAAGATCTATATAAGCGTGACCAAGTGTATTTTAACAATAAGGAATATGCATGCAACTTTGTATGGTAACTATTAAAGACATCACGCGACTCGTATCTACATGTTAACTCGAGGATCATTTTAAACCCAATATGTCCTCCCACCCAATGATCCTTAACAGAGACGTATACACCTTTGAAGTCATTTTCATAACTTTTAATTAAACTAATTGGTCTCAAACGTGAAAGAATGGTCCACCTCTGTAGAATTTCGTGTGCAATAACTTGGCTAAACAATCGACAATCAATGTCTAGCTAGACAATCGACATTCAGCTCAACATTCGATCTGTAATGATAATCAAAGTATTCTTAAATTGAATGTTGAGCTAGACAATCAACAATCAGCTAGACAATAAAAATATGCTTATGTCGAGCTAGACAATCGACATTCAGCCAACATTCTATCTGTAATAATAATCAAAGTATTTTCAAAGTGAATGTTTAGCTAGACAATCAATATTCAGCTAGACATTCAAATTTACTTATTTATATGTCGAGCTAGACGATCTATACTAATGATCGATGTTTTCACTAAGTGAATGTTGAGCTAGACAATCAACAATCAGCTAGACATTCGAAAAGTTCTTATGTCGAGCTAGACAATCAACACTCAGCTCAACATTCGATCTGTAATAATAAAAAAAGAATTATTCAATTGAATGTTGAGCTAGACAATCAACAATCAGCTAGACATTCAAAAATTTTTATGTCGAGCTAGACAATCGACATTCAGCTCAACATTCAATCTATAATAATGATCGAGGTTTATTAAAGTGAATGTTAAGCTAGACAAGCAACAATCAGCTAGATATTCGTCGAGCTAGACAATCGACATTCAGCTCAACATTCGATCTATAATAATGATTGAGGTTTTCTTAAAGTGAATGTTGAGCTAGACAGTCAACAATCAGTTTGACATTCAAAAATTGCTTATAAGAAATTTCTGAATGTCTAGCTGATTGATGATTGTCTTGCGCAACATTCACTTTGAGAAAACTTCGATCATTAGTATAGATTGTCTAGCTCGACATATAAATAAGTAATTTTTGAATGTCTAGCTGAATGTTGATTGTCTAGCTAAACATTCACTTTGAAAATACTTTGAATATTATTACAGATAGAATGTTGGCTGAATGTCGATTGTCTAGCTGATTGTTGATTGTCTTGCGCAACATTCACTTTGAGAAAACTTCGGAATGTTGATTGTCTAGCTAGACATTGAATGTCGTTTGTTGATTGTTCAGCCAAGTTATTGCACATTAGAATTTCAGCTGTTGTAAAAATGTATACACTTGAGTCGTACACCCTTAGGCGTTCGCATATTTCGTTATTTTAGGTTTAACATTACCGATATGATTTACATGTGAATATCAGAAAATATTTCTTTAATAGTCTTCCGTGTGTTTATACAATATTTTTTAGCAAATTATACATCAAGAAAAGTTTCCTCTGGGCCAAAAGGAAATGGTTAACCAAGGATAAAAATAGCAATCAAACCTCCCCTGTCTATATAAAACAACACTTAAGCGTTTTCTTTGCTCACATCTCTGAAGACAGAAAATATGGCGGGGTCGGTGCTACTAAAGGTAAGTCATATTATTAAATGTAACTTTAGTCAAGAAATGTGTAAAACAAGTTTGATGTTTTTCCCAAATTTAACTTTAGAATCTTATTCAAGGTATAAAAATGTAATAAATTTTGGACAAGTAAAAACAATGCTGAAATTAGACAATTATATATTGTTAAATCACTATCAAAAGCATAAGTTTCAATGATCAATTTATTTTCTTACTTCATTTGACTATGTCAAGTGTATCTAAAACATATTTATATCTTGATTTTTTTTCCAGTTATTCAAATACCTTTTCATTCTTTCTTGCTGTTTTTGATTATTTTTTTCTTAATTTCAATTAAGTGATTGTACATACCAATAAAAATCAAGAATTACTTTCGTTTCAGGGAAGTATATTTCTTGTACTAGTACTTCTTATTGTAAGTGGATCACTCGCTAAAGAAAGGAGCAAAAGCAGAAGCAGTAAAAGCGGTAGAGACAAGTGTCGACAAGAACTATGTAAGAGTTACAATTTCACCATTTTCAGATATAAATGTTAGGTCGGTTTAAAAAATGTTTTAGCTCGATTGTAATGAAAGCTGTACCACCTTCGAGTCCCCTCCCTCGAATAAACCATTACTGGTGCCATTTGAAGATACAGGGTCGCAGATAGATAACGACTCCAACAAATGATCCCTTGATGGAGGCACATACACCTCAATAAGGGGTGTAAATGATAGCCATCCAAAGTCAGCGACTCTATGGCATTTCCAATCTAGCCATGTTGGATGTTTTCAGGTGTTCCACTTTATCTAGCTTCATGTCTGTAAAGATTACTTTTTTTTAATTCAACATTCCAAAACATTTATATGAACATGGTTTTAACGACATCATATTTGAATGCATTCGATCTTTTTAACTATTGACAATAATTGTTAAAACTTAAAGCATATCTTAAGTTAAATGGTTAATTAGTATTTTGTAAATATTTAAAAATATTGGAGATTTTGGAAGAATAATGAACGTTTGATGAGAAACACTTAGACTATTTGTTGATTTCATAACCTATGTCCAGCTATTTATAATACTTACTGAATTGAATTGAATTGAATTGCATTGCTCTGAACCTGGATGGGACCGAATAATCAACTAGTATTGTCAAATATATTAGTGCTGTATTTTCAATATTCAGTAAAACATTTTAGCCCAAGTAGGGAAGGAAATTATGATCATGATTGAGGGTTGCCATGCAATTTCTGTTAAAACACGGTTTCTTTTACGCTTTTCCAGCTAACTGTGTGCGAGGCGGAGTCGCCTGCCAAGGTGGAGGATATGATATAAAGTGCATCCCATTTGAGAGACTATGTGACGGAATTGCGGACTGCAGTTGGGGCGAAGATGAGATCTACTGTGGTAAATATTTATCAATAACTTTTGGCACCCAAAATGCTTATATTTACGTTTTGCATAAACGTTTTTGATGGCACGTCATAACTTTCCAAATACATGTAGTATTCATTGTCCATACAGGGGACCCATATTTTACTTCTTTTTCGTTTTTGCAATTAGTGAAGTTTTAGTTATTAAGTAATTTGTATGAAAGTTGAAATACCATTATGTTTATGTTTTCATATCTTAATGACAAATAGTTCCATATTCAGCGCAACGCATTTCCGGTGATGCGCATCTATCAGATTGAAATGCTATCTAAACATTATTAAGCACGTTTTTTTTAAGAATATACATTTTAGAGGCTTTTAAACAAATTCATTAATAAACATGTTGATGTATTAATCACTTTATTTGCCGGAATGACCGTTGTCTCTAGTTTCGACATATATCCGTAGCTTTATAAAAGAATAAAATCCACTACAGTGCGACAAAGACAGGCGGTTTTCGCTTCACCTAAAATGCACGGTGGACATATAGAAAATTTTAATTTTCTTACGAAGTTATAAGATAAAAAAAAAATGCTGGTTCAGAGACCAATTGTTGTAAGCAAACGTTTACAATATTACATTTTTTTTAACGTTTAACGTTTGTAACGTCGCTTTTCATTGGCTAATCGTGACGTTTATGTTATTAGTTATAAAGATTGTTGACGGGTTATATGGCCTTATATAAACGGCTGTTTATAAATATATTGCAAATAGCCGTTTATATACGGCCATATAACCTGTCAACAATCTTTATAACGAATTTATAATACAGCAAGCATCATTATTAGAGAAAAAAAGTAAAATTTCTTCATGAATCGACAGCAGCCGTGTATATAAATATTTATTACCCTTCCAGATTTTCTAGCCCTTTTTGATTGGATATTGATCCGGGGGGTAATATACGCACTAAATTTCCCCGTTGGGGACCCAACGTTGTAAACAACATGCGCTGTGGCGATGCGCGTACAGTTCGATTATCCGCGGTGTAAATTCCAATATACAAGAACGTTTTAACTGCCAAATAAATAATATTTACCCAAATAGAATAATGTTAAATATTCTCATTAATATTGAAAACAAATATGACCTCGTCAAAGCTTGATTTAAATTACCAAAAACAGTCTTCAACAGACTAGTCCTTTTATCTTGTTTCCATTCGTTAGGTACCAAAGAAAATACGTAATGTATTTATGTGACGTCATGTTGTGGTGAAGGGGTACCCTAAAGGGAATCTTATTTAGACGTTTCATTTGAAACAGCAATAATTTATATTGTCATCGTCTTACTAGGCAGGGAAAGGGTAATAAAAGCATTATTTTGGTTTTAGAGTGATATATGTGGATATATTACCTGCCAAGATAAAATATCACCCTCGACTAACGGCTCGGGTGATATTTTATCTTGGCAGGTAATATATTCACATATATCACTCAAAAACCAAAATAACATATAATATAAACGTCACGATTATCCAATGAAAAGCGACGTTACGAACGTGCAGTATTATAAAGTTTTATATACACCGCTTCTGTCATTCTTTAAAGAAATCTCACTTTTAACACATGTACATGCATAGCAATAAATATGTATTCTTTATTTTCCAACAATTGCAATAAATTAAATACTAATTCATTTGTTTCTTACCGTTTCAGCGCCCCCTATTCCACCTGTACCATCAAGATTCAGCACTAGGACTGTAATAAGAACAACCACTACAACAAGAACAAGCACAACGACATCAACTCGTACTTCAACTTCAACTAGCACACTAACTTCAACTTCAATGAGTTCTTCAACAAGCACAATGTCCACTACCTTCACCCCTACATTTACATTGGCTCCCAGCAGCGTCTGGGCCACAAGTGTTGTAGTTACAACACTTCCGGCTAAAATGGTAGCAACAAGGGCGAATCCGAATGGTATTGTAGTGGGTGGATTTACTTGCTCTTTGGGGGCTGTCGCTCCCGCTGATCCTATATTGGCGGCTGATCGCTTTATTGTAAGCGTGTCGTCTACCGTTACTTTTTCTGGGTCCGTCACAGCGTCATGTTCTCCTACTACTACAACAATTTGGTAAATGCATGACCCGTTTGTGTACTGCAGCCAACCACTTTCCGATTCTTAAATATATGCAATTATATTTCCAACAACATATTTCCTTTTCGATTAGAAGATGTAAAAAGATGATAATAAGTTTGTTCTAATGTAAATTTAGTTACTACTTTAAAAATGTTGTGTACATGGTCTAACTTTTAAAATGAAATTAATATAAAATATATCAGTTACAAGTAACCATACATAAGTACATGTATTCGGTAAAAAACTGTTGTTTTTTTTTCTTCATATCTTCTGTTTGCGTTATTTTGGACAAGTACATTGGGTCAGTGTGACATACTAAAACATAATGAATATTGTTGACAAATAAACAAAGAAAATGTAACAAAGTCTTTTTATACGAATGCTTGTTTGCTGTAAACCACATTGAGTGTTTCAATTCATGATATACTGATACATAAATGAGCCGCGTCATGACAAAACCAACATAGTGGGTTTGCGACCAGCATGGATCCAGACCAGCCTGCGCATCCGCGTAGTCTGATCAAGATCCATGCTGTTCGCTATCAGTTTCTCTACTTGTAATAGGGTGTGTAAGCGAACAGGATTGATCCTGATCAGACTGCGCGGATGCGCAGGCTGGTCTGGATCCATGCTGGTCGCAAAACCATTATGTTGGTTTTGTCGTGACACGGCTCATACTAATTTTCAAGCTAAGAAAATCTCTAAACTTCAAACCATTCTATTACTGTAAAAAGACTGAGCATTTACTGCCATTTTCTGTTAAAATGTATTCAAATATGATATGTTATTTTTTTCACAGAAAGAATTGTCATATATATATAATCTTTGATTTTAGAGAGCGACAAAGAAATGTAATATTGTACACTTCAATTGCAGTTGCATATCTGACTTTACTTATTACTAAAGTTATCATGACAAGCCTTATTCTGGGTTACCAGCCATTTTATTATTCGAAGCGTATATTCCGGGAGTACATGTAAATTACACGTGCAATAGCAAAGATTATGTAATGTCCAACTCCATTGTATATCATGTTAAACAACAATTTTATTAAATTTTTCAAAACGAACGGAAACAGGTTTTTTTCTCTCGCTGTTTTTTTTTTAATTGTGTCTGAAAAGATCTGTTCAACGAATTCGAAAGAAAAATACCATTTCTTGACCGTATTGAATACATTATTCACAACATTTCTTTTTAGACCTAAATTAAGTTACAATGCAATGATCGCGACAGGTACACAGCGAGAAATAAAAACATATCTAAACATCATGAACTTATCATAAATCTGAGTCGATATATTAATGAGGTTTTCGTTGGATTTCATGATTTCTTACTTGGTCCCTCATAAAGGTTTGGGCAGAAAGGACAAATACGTTCTACACCACAAACTTGTCTTCTTCGGGCATACTTGTACTTTCCTTGACACAAAATTAACGAATAATATACATAATATACGCGTTTTATGATGATATGATGCAAGTCGTATACCGAATAAATTCAAGCTTCTGGTTGAACTGATAAACAAAATATCTGTAAACGTGTTTTTATATATTTTCAACATGTGTAAAGGGGTATACCTATGAAAGGATAGTTCCTCGATGTTTTATAACTTCCTTTATACTTGATGAATAAAGAGAAAATTAAACGTGCTTGAGTTTTCTTGGTCATTTGACACATAAATCCGCATAATGCCGCAGACAATATTCCATTTTCTTTTGCTTTGTCAAACCAAATTACAACAGTATTCTGTAGAAATATAATTGCTGTAAAATAATTCTGGCGATCAAAGAAAGTGCGAAATAGCTCAGCAGTGTCTGGGTAAATGAAATGCTATAATTTAAGGTTTTTATACGTAAGAAAAATATAAAGACAATGACGAGGCCATTTGGAATGTCTCGACTATTATTTATAATAACCTCGGACATAATCTATACCACGTGGTTGGAGATGTTAACGCCACAATGGCAATTACAGCAGCGTTTTACTGTCTTGTGAACTGGTTAAGGCCTTTTTCAGTTGCGAGAATTAGCGCCGCAAAAAGACTAGACTACAAAAGTAATTTGAAACAAAACACATTTTTTTTTACAAATGATTGCCAAATTTTGATAATTTAACTGATAATCTGCTGTCAGTATCATTAAGTATAAAATTTTTCACAGCGTTATGTCTCTTGAAAATAAAATCTCTGAATTTATAAATTATAAATATATTTTGTTCAGTTATCGTTAAAGGCCCATTATGCCTCAGATCGAAATGCCATCATTTTTATAACTCAGTTTCCAAACAATTACTCTTTTTGCCACATAGTAGAACTATTTGTTGCTACTTTGGCTCTGTCTGTAGGTTGTATAATTATAATGAATAAGTATTTTGTATGGAAGTCAAACTACTACTTTGTTTACATTTTGCTACCTTTATGACACATTACCGCACTTTCAGAGCGACTTATATGCTCTACATCCATTTATAAAACATTATTAAACACATGTTTGACATTCCAAGAGAATTGAAACAAGAAGTATCTTTTACCAAAGTAAAAATGGTTAATTTGCATGTTTTCCATGCCAAGTCATATAGAAATGTTAGCATAGCTTGCATAACAATGACGTTCTAATTTCTTGTATGGTTATTAATCTTGAAAAATTGAACACTTTAAGGTGTATTTGTTTCTAAATAAATCTGTAGTGCTCCGGATAGTGAACTCAATTTCTAACATCTACATCTACACAGTCGGTAAGGCATGTAAATACTTGATTAATATGCAAAAATATATTTGAGCCGCGTCACGACAAAACCAACATAATGGGTTTGCGACCAGCATGGATCCAGACCAGCCTGCGCTTCCGCGCAGTCTGACCAGGATCCATGCTGTTCGCTATCAGTTTCTCTATTTGTATTTTGTAATAGAGTTTTTTAGCGAACAGCGTGGATCCTGATCAGACTGCGCTAGAAAGTTAAAAAAGTTGCTTGTACATTTTACTTTAGAACTATCCTTTACATTTTAGTTTAGAACTACCTTATCATGACAAGAACTATCCCTTGAATTTCATTTTAGAATGACCAATGTGAATCCCATATGTCATTTTTTAATTTTAAGATAACCAATGAAAACTCTTCTTATATTCAGTTCTTCCATGCAAATTTTACCTGAAGTCAAACTGAAAAAAAGACCGGACTTGGGCCGGAAAAATATGGATTTCTGTAGCATATAACATGCCTTTAAAGTACGAGGGGTTCTCCAAAAATCCGTGGACTTTTTAAATATCTTTTGAACGTCAACATGTATTGTAATGAAATTTTATCAGCATACATTGTGGAATATAATCAACACGTTTTGAAACGAACAGTTAACATCGTCAATAAATACTGATTTTATTAAGCACATACACGGCACCCGGCGCACGGTTGAAAAGCGCTGTTAGTAATCGTATATTTTTTTAATTAACGTAGTATCGCATATTTATTGACGTCATTTCCGTTAATTTTTGTTAAAATCGCCAGAAACGCCAGACGACGATATTGTTTACAACGGGAAAACATTTGAAAAAATAACAAAAAAAAAACTAGAACTGTGTCCAAAAGGACACGAATGCCCCTACTGACAACAACTATATTGTATATATAGAGGATATTTGTTTAGTTCAGTGTAAGATCGGAATATATTTCACCGAGTGAGCACCAAAAGGAATATTTCACGAGTGGCGCAGCCACGAGTGAAATATGAACTTTTGGTGTTCACAAGGTGAAATATATTTCAATCTTACACTAAACTAAACAAATTTTCTTTTTATTATATGCAAAGAAACGTTTTAAAAAGACATTTAACCTAATACTGAATGAAAAGCGCGCCAAATAATAATACAACGTGACGTCATTTACGACGTCACGTCATTAAGTTGGTACCCAGTACTGTGCACGCTGGTATTACACTGAAACAACGTAAGGGGCTTAAATTCAAAACAGTGAAATTATCAAAGTGGTAATTTCACTGTTTCAAACAGTGAAATTACCAGTTTTATATCACTGATATATTTCTATAAACCACCGAAAAGCATGTAATAAAGTGAAAAAATCAACAAAGGGCCATAATTCTGTTAAATTTGGTCACAGCGAAAATTCCTTCCTTACTACACATTAAGGTTGTTCATCCCTGGAAGTTTTAGCAAAATCTGCCATCCGGTTTAAGAGGAGTTGCGTTCACAAGATTTCCGGACGTACGGACAGACGTACGTACGTGCCACAAGATTTCGGGACGTACGGACAGACGTACGAACGGACGTACGTGCCACTTAAATGGACTAAGGGGCCATTTCTTTTGTTATTTTCTTGGCATAAAAAAATATTGATGGACATTACTTTCCGATGTTACTTAAAAAAATAAGGTTTTAGAAAAGAGACATCTACGTTAAAAAAATCGTTACAGTCAATTATATTTGAGTTCTTCAAACCCCTCAAAGGGTTTTTATTATCTCGAAACCAAGTGCCTATGATTTTATGGGATTATACTAAACTAACGATGGGAGCAAACTCCTTGACAATCATTAATGAGAGCAATGATGAATTGTTTCCCTTTAATAGCTGCACATGAGACCTTTTGCACTGTACATTAGAAAAATTATCTAACGTAGGATATTATATTTTCAGATGTGTCAACATCGACATATTTTTCGCATTTATACATGTATATATACATATATAATTATTTATAATTAACATCGATTTTCGTTGGATAATCGTGACGTTTATATCAACTATATACAGCTTTTTCATATTGACAGGTTTTTATATCCCAAAATCGACAGGTTTTTTTTATAGGCCTACAGTACCTAAATTGACAGTGAAGTTACAAAAATAGATTTTGGAAAAAATTGGATCCATTTTAGAATAACGGCAGGTAAAAAGGCAAAGATATAAAATGCATGGCTGTTAAGGGTATAAGGGGTAAATACATTGTCGCACAGAACAAAAATTGAAGGTGCATGCAAACTCTATGATGTTCTTAGTTTATAAGTATACCGTACAACCGAAAAAGAAAACATAAGTTCAGAACAAAATCAACAATAACAACAGTAGCAATAGCCATTGAAAGAAGAATTTATAAGACTTAGTCTTCCGTTCTAATCTTTTTCTTGAATATAAAAAAAAATGTTTGATTTGTTTTGTATATGTGTATAATTATGTATATTTTCGGGAAATAGATATGTTTTAACTAAACTAAACTAATAGCAGACGATCAATTTGAGCCGTTCTAAAAAGTAAGTTTAGTGATTTAGTAAATACTTATAAATGAAATATCGAGAAATATTGATGAAATAAAGTGCGTTTTTTCATTTTCCGTATTTTCATAGTAAAATTTTTTTTTCACTGCAGTTAAACATATTTTCCAAATTTAGCAGACGATCAATTTGAGCCGTTCTAAAAAGTAAGTTTAGTGATTTAGTAAATACTTATAAATGAAATATCGAGATATATTGATGAAATAAAGTGCGTTTTTTCATTTTCCGTATTTTCATAGTAAATTTTTTTTTTCACTGCAGTTAAACATATTTTCCAAATTTTCACTGGTGTCTTGCCGGACTACTTTTTTTCTAAATTCTGTCAGTACACAAAATTTAACGGAAATCTGTCAAATTGCATTCTCAAACTCTCTTTTTCAAAGGACCAAAAGACGTCATGATGAAATATGAGAAAAGCTACTTGAAGACTTTAATTTATTGAAATCATGTGAGAAAGACTTCTTCTGAAAAAAGTGGTTGTTGCTGCTATTAAAGTGGTGTGTGGAATGCTGCTATTGAAATGATATATGAAATGCTGCTATTAAAGAAGATAAATGTATATAGCTACAGTCTGTCCAAATAAAAATGGAAATGAACTTTAGCCTGGTATGAATCAACAAACCGAGATCTAATAAAAGAATAAACAATTTTTGTAAATAAAAAAAGTCACCCTCGAGATTTATAATGATACTACTACTGAAATGATGCAAGCAATACTGCTATTGAAATGAGGCAAGCAATACTGCTATTGAAATGAGGCAAGCAAAACTTGCACTGCAATGATGCAAGCAATACCACTACTGAAATGATGCAAGCAATATAACTACTGAAATGATACAACCATTACTGCTACTGAAATGATGCAATCAATACTGCTATTGAAATGATGCAAGCAATACTGCTACTGAAATGATGCAAGCAATACTGCTACTGAAATGATGCAAGCAATACTGCTACTGCAATGATGCAAGCAATACTGCTACTGAAATGATGCAAGCAATGCCACTACTGAAATATTACAAGCAATATAACTACTGAAATGATACAAGCAATACTGCTACTGAAATGATGCAAGCAAAACTTCCACTGCAATGATGCAAGCAATACCACTACTGAAATGATGCAAGCAATATAACTACTGAAATGATACAACCAATACTGCTACTGAAATGATGCAATCAATACTGCTATTGAAATGATGCAAGCAATACTGCTACTGAAATGATGCAAGCAATACTGCTACTGAAATGATGCAAGTAATACTGCTACTGCAATGATGCAAGCAATACTGCTACTGAAATGATGCAAGCAATACTGCTACTGAAATGATGCAAGCAATACTGCTACTGAAATGATGCAAGCAATACTGCTAC